AATCACCTTTCTCGACAAACTCTCTATTTTGTCATTGATGTATTTGCTGTGCATTTCTGAATTCCGGTTCCAGACTCTTTCAGTACTTCTGTATGCCACAACGATGAACTAAAGATCCATTTTAATTCCGTTTCTCTAAATTCAAAACATGAATGCTAAACATTTACTTATATGAAAAAATAACATTGTTACATTTGCTAATTTGCCGGAATATCAGTTTATGAGGGCTGTTCAATAAATAATGTTCCGAACTCTATTACATACAACACATATATCATATGTCATTAAGCTTGACTTTCTCTCATGATTGAATCTTTAATGAATTGATATCAGTTGACGTTTTTCATTTCATATTTTCATTGTGAGAAAGTGGAAAACCAGGTCTTTTCGAGATACTGTATAAAAAATGAATGGTAAAGAATCAGTAAACTAGAGTGAAATTAAACGCTTCATTTAAGCTGCTGTAAAACTTAATAAGAATCCCAAAGAAATATTTACTGAAAATTTTGAAATTTACAGCAACCAATGCCTGTTTTATACATGTAGACACATGAGCAGGTGGATTTCAATAAACAATAATAATATAGTGGGCATAAAAATGGGTACCGTCCTTAGCGATAAGGACTTAAAACAAACAATGATCTGTTTGCCAAAATTCAACAACTTATCACTTATGATATTTAATTGACTTTAAAACACATAGCAAATTTAATAAACATCAATTTGGGGGTACTTTACACTATTTTAAAGAAACATTTGACAGTAAAAAAGCTAAGTACTACATGGTCACCCTTTGTTCTAAAAAAATTAAGTAAAAACGACATCGTGTATAAATATCTCAACAGCTATTTTCAAGAAAGTCAGAAATTATAGTCATCCACGTTTGTCTGAAATTCAATTAGATATTGAAAGTTGAATTATTTACTTTATTATCCTAAAAACATTCTTACAATAAGAAGAACTTGACAAAAACAGCAAAGTTTTAAAAAGAGCAAAGAATTACAAGAGGACAAAGACAGTTTTATATGCCATTGTCTTACATATTAATGGTCTTGTTTTTCAAATTCCTATTCGGGAAGGCAGTTTAGTTTCTGGAAGAGTCTAGCAGGCAACTTTTTGCAAAAAAAAAAAAAATGATAATAATAATAAAAAAAAAAAAAATGAAAGGTTTTTTGAGAGGAAGGAACTAGAATCAGGAATGCACTACATTAAATTTCTTCATGACAGCGTCCAAACCCACACGCAAAGAAGAGTATCGGTGTTTTGTGGATAAACAGAAAGGTAATATTTTGTCACAAAATAATATTCCCCAGATCCATCACCCTCTAAACTTGAAAAAAAAAACTTTCGGAAAGAAGAAACATGTCCAGGAAATCATAGGATCTGCCATGTTCTAGTATACGAAGGGCCATACTCGAAAATGAGTTCTAAAAACAGTCAGATATTGGATAAACATGTTATGAACATGTGTTTTAATTCAACGAGAGTATTTAAGTGAAATCATCAAGACTAAATCATTGAAAAGCGTCCTTTGCTTCTCTCCGAGCACCGAGGACATTATTTATTTAACAGCCCTCGTACAAAAAAGCTTATTTAATTGTTGAGATATTAGACATAACAGATCACATTTCGGATGCATCGCATTATAAATATAGTTAAGAATGCAGTACCCAACACATTCAACAATACACAAAACAGTATACTATTCTATCAAAATCTTTAACATATATATATCATGAACATGGAACTTAGACGTTTTAATCAGTATAATATATAGAAAATTTCATCATCAATCAGGAATGTGTTCAACCGTTGTCTCTAACGAAAGGACTATTATATTTCCGACCTTTCTTTGATGACAAATTTCCTTTTCAAATTCCCCAAAATGCTACATAATCTTAATTTAAGCTACACATAATCTTCCTTGATGAATGTCCAAATGTACCTAGAGTGTATGTACTACTTGACTATCTATCAGAAAAAATGAAATGAGCTTCGATTTCATTGTAAGAATATTTATTACGTAAACTTTTAGACGACAATTTTCTTTTTCAAAATTATATAATAATAAAATGTATATAGTCTATAATAGAGTACTCCTTATACTACTACAACTCATCAAACAATAATAATATCTAGAAAATTTGGTCCAGGGTTTTGATATGACACAACCCGTTGAAAACAAAACAATGTTGTCTTCTCAAACCTTCAACAATCAAAACTTATGACTGGTGGTGGTAGTTTTGTACGATATGAATATTTTCACACAGAATTAAATTTATTGATCAGTGATTAAGTTAAGGATTGAAGCTTATTTCAATTTTTGTAATATGATGTAACATAATTTGGGACAGTTTACGCTTTATAAACCGCTTCGCTATCGTATAACAAAAGTTGAAATAAGATTCATTCCTTATACATGGAATTGAATTTCAGTGTAGACAACAAGACAATTTTTCCTCCGGAAAATGCTTCAAGTAAAGCATATTTTTAAAGTAACGTCAAGGGGAGTAATATATTTTTTACTTAACTCATTGTGACGTAGGCAAGTTATGTTATACATGGATTAAATCTTTTAGCCAATCAAATGACGAGTAAAATTAAATTATTACCCATTATTTAGACAAAAAAGTAACATTTTCTCGTTTTCTTGGCGGGTGTACATGTAAAATTTGGCGTTTGCCTCCTGAAATAATTTTGGTGTAATTTATGTTAGCGGATACAGGGTTTCAATTCTTTGCAGATGAACAAAAAGAAGGAAACTGAATATTTCAGCGTTTTAAATGTTAGCAGTCTATCATTAAAACCTCAAAATAAGCCAAATTTGGCACCCCGTTAAAATTGCCAGCTATACGGTAAATACTAACGCTTTGCTGGGTCGTTGGAATGATGTCAGGACAGGACAGACAGTTTAAAGGCCCTTTCACAATTGGCGCACGAAAACTTTACAACACTTTGCGATCGGAAAATTTTAACTTCGCACGAGCTCTCGCCGAGCTCTCGCATACGTTTTACGATGTTTCGCATTCGTTGCATGCTTTTTAGTGGTCGCATCAAGTCTCCTCAAAATAGTCGACATGCACACTATTCAGACACGACCAAATGCGATCCACGTTTATCGCAATTCAACGCACGAATATTAGTACGAGCGTTTTACAACGTTTTGTGTACTCTCAAGAGTGATGCACGATTTTCAAAGGTCGTAAGATGAATCGCAACTGTATATGCATGTGTTGTGCGACCATGAGACTGTTGCTCAACGTGTCTCATGTAACCTTGCAACGTTTTACTATGCACGATTTATCAGCTTCAATTTCCCATGCTTTGCCACTAGTATGTGTAAACCCTGTATAAGCATCTCTGTTTCAGACCACAATTGACAATGGATGCTGCTTAAACGGGTAGTATATATATATTCCCCTTCTCACTCGCACGATCATTCCTACCATAAAACGCATGATTGCACGAGCGTCTTACCTTCAATCGCATTGGTGCACGTTCAGTTGTCTGATCAACTGATCACTCGCGCGATCCTTTCGCATTATCTTACAACACTCGCTTTCATTGTACAACAGTCGCATATAGAAGCAAGGTATATCGTAAGATTTAATGCACAACGGTCGCTTTAGATTGTGCAAATTTCGTACGAATCCTTTTTCAAATGCGATTATTTCAGCAACAGTTTACGATCCAAATCAAAGTTTTTCGGTCACACGAATATTTTGTCGCTTCTGCTCGTGCGCCAATTGTGAAAGGGCCCTTAATACAATTAACCATACTGATACTTTCACATTACTTTATAATCATTCAGTGTTAGTTTGTTAAGGAAAATAATTCAATGAGATATGTTTTACCTGTGTGATACAGGAGTTATTGAAGTACTACGTATATTATGAATATTGGTATGCCCCTTTTCTGAACAATTGCACCTACAACATCGTGCATCCGTACGGACATACCAATATTTACCAATCTATGTCCTTTAATATTTTTTATACAAAGCCCTCTTCTCTGTTCAACTGCTTTTCATACAAATAGAAATAATGCAATATCATATCTTTTAAATAGATCTTTAGCTTCCTTGTTCCCCCCCCCCGCCTACCGAGTTATTATTATCGTTTCCATATTGTGATGAACGGAAAGTAATAGGACATTTTAAGATTATGTTTGTTTGCCCTGGCTCTCACGACTAAAGGTAAAAAATGTGGTCATTTGGTAGGTGGGGGAAATAATTTAGAATAGAAATATCAACATATCTGTTGGCGGCCGGATAAGAATATCCATGAATAAAAATAGGAAAAAAATTATCATTTCCTTGAGGTTAAAAATGTTTTGAGGTGGGCCATTTTTAGCAAGTTAAAATAGTTTTGCCGGGTGAGGACAAACATTTTGAAAGATAGCTTAGTTATTTCTATTTGCCGGTATATGTCGGCAGGAGCTCTATAAATCTTGAAATCTTGAAATAAGGACACCACAGAATTACAACTGTTTTATTTTTCGATGTAATTTTTTACCCCTCACTTTCTCTTATATATGAAAGAATATAGTCCGCTATCACCCGCATTCCTCTTCAAATATCTGATACCAAAAAACGCAAGTTCTGAATTGATAAAGCTTGACAGATAACCGGATACAATGGTCAAGAGAAAGTGTTTTTTTAAATAAACAAACATACACTAGTAACCCTTCATTGGGTCGTACTTTGGATAACCTTGTTTATAAAACATTAGTCCTAGTCTTACATGCTTACATCAGTTCAATGTGCCTTACTCGTTGGAATTCATTTCATAACCAAGACACTTTAGTTGACACATTAACTTCCGTTTACACTGTACATGGATTTTAAAGATGCTTATATCTAGAAGTTCTCAGCAAAACTTATTTGTAAGAAAATTATAGTTAAAGATTTATTAAGTGTATGAACGGCTGTTCAGGATAAGGAGACATTTATGCACACTCATACCACTCCACATTCAACTATAAAATATAGTTGAAACCTTCCCCTATCCACTTGTACAATTTGTGACAAAACAAAGTGCTTTTGAAAAATAAGGAATGATGATGAAGCATTTAGATTTAAACAGAAAACTCCTATTTTCATATTCATAGGTATTCTTGTGTTACTCGGTGAGTGTATTTATTATAATCATATTTGAAAATAAACTTTGTGAATTATGTTTTGTTTTCTAAATTTGGTTAGAATTATTAAGGTCAAACATTAAAGAAATATAATCAAGAAAATATTTCCAAATTGATAGTTAAATATATTCAGAGTCAATCATTTAACAAGTAGAATTTCATTATATTTTATTGAAAAATATGAAATAATCAGCAAGAATGTATCACAAAATGCACTATATGATTCAAAGACAAAAGCCCTTCGAAATTATAGTTCTTAAAGGTAAACATATCATTTAGAAATTTGTGACATCTTTTGTTAAACCTGTTCAATAAATATTTTATTGTCCTGCATCGCGTCCAATAAGTTACCTGTAGGTGTCCAATAAGATTTAACTTATTGGACAGGTACAGGTAATATTCAATGAGAACATTGGGTGAGGCAAATAGATTAATCTCACTTAAAATGCAATGATAAATAGAACAAATGAATATGAACAATGTGGGAAATAAGCAGTGTTAAATATAAATATTTCACCAAATGTCCGATTGTAAATACCGCTTATAATGCACAAAGAATTGAAAGTTTTTCGTTCAATATTTAAGAAGAATCCGCGGTCCTGATCATGAATTTTTTAACTTCATCGTGTATAACTATAGTAGATTTATGTCACAATGACTCATTAATGGAACAATTATAGAAACAATGGGACACAAAAGAGGAATCAGAAGCATGTGTTTTCTTTCAAACAATATTGGGCGTTTTGTTTATTAAAACATCTGTTTTTTTCGCCTTCACGAAATTTCCAATGATTCTGTATTTTCGTTCCGTGATTTATAACCATTTGTCCATCTAAGCTGGCGTTGTTTGAGCAAGTATCTATCTTGCTTTATGGAGAGGCTGGAAAAAATCCTTCCGATGTCGAACCTGTGCACAGTAGAGAAATTGTTGTATCTTTGAAAAAACACATAAGAAATTATCACAAAAAATTTCCTTGGCCTAATTTGATGAACAGTGCCATGTTATCAACTAAGAAGAACGAGACCTGTTTTCCTGTTACTGTACAATAAGTTAACAATGGAAGTTTTCGACATTGGTGACATGTTTTAAGTAACGGCGTTAACGCGCCAAGGGTCGTCTAATATCTCATGATCACATAATGGATAATTTTCGACTTATTACTAAAATATATATGTACAGTTTCCAAAGTTCATTTAACACAAGCTCTTTCTGCATTATAAATCTGTTTTTACATATGTCTACACATTTTGAGTTCAAAAAGTGTTTTGGGGGACAAACCCCACCAAAGGATTTGAAAAGAATGCTTTTTGTAAATTTAGATATATGAATCACAGATTTCCAGTTGAAAAAGGTGGGGAATTGACCAAGATTTTCAAATAAGTGATATTTGTCCCTCTAACAATTTCGGTGATGAATTTTACTACCTTTTAGAATTGGTTGCTTCAAAAGAGAACGAAAAAAACGTGTTCCCATTTTTTTATGCTATCCCTAACGTTATCAAATTTAATGACTTGCTTAATTGTAAGGACACTACAGTCATATCGGACTTGCAAATTTTTAAAAAAATTTTATTGTCAGTAATAAATTAATTATAGCAAAACTACTATGTAACATATGTTGAAATGCATATAGTTTTATTTTATACTAGCAGAGGTCTTATATCTTTAATGTTTTGAAGCATACATGTACACAGTAACTACCGTTAGTGCCACTCATTCATGCATGGTAGCTGCAGATATGTAAATCGACCCTTTATAGTTGTCTCTACAAGTGATAAACTCGCTTGATTAAATTCTCTGAAAATTCACTTTAAGCGAATTTATTGCCTGTAGAGACAACTAGAAAGGGTTAGGAGGTGGATAAAATATACAGATTCATTACAGAATGTGTCTAGAATTAAGGAGTGAAAAGTAGTTGATTGACCGATGACAAATGAAGAAAATTTTCCCCAAAGTGCGCAAAAAATCTTGCGCCGTAAATTGCACTTTTTTGCATTACAGGATCTGTAGCGTTATGGTCAAAGACTAATATATAAATCCATAACGCTACAGATCTGCAGCTATCTTGCATTCAAGCTGATATGTTATAATTTGATTGTATTATTTGTATTCATATACCCCATTTGGGGTCTTTGTCTTTAAAAACAACTTGAAACTTGAACCTAATTTCCAAATGGCTGTATCAAGTATGTCTTTGCAAAAAATTGAGGAAATCTTAGTTCCTCTCCCTCGCAGTCCTGACTCCAATGATAGTAATGTCATACTTATAAGTATTTTAAAATTTATTTCTCATTGAATTAGTGAAGCAGTTATTCTCTAGACGTCGGGTATATACTAAAGCACTTTCGACAGTTAGAAACGTGGAATAATTTGCATTTCTAAATTCTAGACAGTGATTCATTTTATTTCAATTTCTTGTGAAATCAAATTATTAATATTAATCAAAATGTTATACAATGTTGTTTTGTAGATATGAAATACACGAAGGATTCCTCTTGATTTCCAAGTCAACGTCACTGACGTCATAATATAGGATATTGCCACGGGATTTGTGATTCTAAGCACTTTAGCTCCGACATTGCAAAATTCACATTCAGTTCTCCATTAATAAAAAAAACACAATTAACTTTCTTAGAGTCATTAGAGCCTTTCAGAAAAAAACATGGAAATTGAAGTGTCGTTTAATGACAATTATCAGAGAAACACATATTTTTCAGAGAGTTTACAGAGCGATTTATGCTAACGGTAAAATTAAAAAAAAGATTTCTTTAAAACTTTTTATAAAAATGGCTGTCTATTTATTGAAAGGAATCATAGATACACCGGTGTTCCTTTTTATTGTATACGGTACAGCTACTGTCCTCGTAGATTCTCTGTATGATAAGAATTGTTCCTCTGGACAAATCTGTGTTTGCTTCGAAGTGAATGGCTATATCCATGCGGATTGTTCAGATCGCCACCTAAGATCCGCGCCAACTTTATCTTCAAAAGTCGTCAGCGCAGACTTTGGCCACAATAAATTACATGCATATCCAACAAACCTTTCCCCAAGTATTAAGTTCCTTAATCTGACAAGAAACGAAATATCTACCATAACAAAAGATGCATTTAAAAGTACTCCTTTTCTACAAAATTTTACAATATCGGAAAACGAGGTAAAATTCGTGGAAAAAGGCGCTTTCGGGTATCTGATAAAACTGCAGCATCTTGATTTATCACACAACAAAGAACTAACCATCTCTATTCTGCCAAACATATCTTTCAACTTAGAATTTACTTCAATCAAGGTACTGAGGCTAGAGAAGCTTCAGTGCACGTACGGAATCAGCACGTCTCTACAAAGACGCCACGTGCAATATCTTCGAAACACTTCACTTTTAGAACTCAATATTGCATCTAACAGACTTAATTATATTGAATTTGGTCTGCTCTTAGACTTGCCAAAAACACTTCGAATTCTAAATATCGGGGACAATGTATTAAGTTTTGGTTGGTATTTGACCAATTTTGGTGCGTTATCAAACCTGCAAATTTTAAATGCAAGTTTTGAGTCCACATTTCATCTCATAGCTCCCCATCAATTTTCTTTTCACTGCAATGATACAAAAATCGTTAGGGAATGTAACTCTAATATCTTACCAGAATATCGTTTATCAGGTTATAATTCATTCAAAGAAAAGGTAGCTCCTTTGACTAATCCTAAGGACAATGTTACCCTTTATTTTCCACCAATCTTACACTCACTTTATTTCTATGACAATATGTATAAGATGATACTTGGAAAGTTCCATTTCAAGAATACAGGAAAATTCACGCATGCACATTTACAAAATAATATAATATACAGGTTGGAAGGACCTTTTATAGGATTGAAGAATCTGAGATATGTGGATCTTTCAAACAACTTTTGTGGCCATATTTCGAAGAATTTTTTCACTGACTTCGAGAATCTTCTTCATTTAAACCTCTCTAATAATATCTTAGGACAAACTTTAGAAAATGATGCAGATGGCTTCATATTTCAGAATCAGAATCTTCTGCAAATGTTAGATCTTGCTTATAACAGAATAACCTTTTTACCGAAAAATATTTTCAAAGGCCTGGTAAATTTAAAAAATCTTAATTTAAGCGGTAACTCCCTAAATCACTTTGACTTGAGTATAAAGCATATGAAAATACTTTCCTCTCTGGATCTTTCTTTTAATAGACTAACTAAAATTCACTCAAGTACTCGTGGAATTTTGACATTTTCTAGTGTTAACAGGATTCTTATAAATTTACTTGGAAATCCTCTTCAATGTTCTTGTGAAAACATAGACTTTTTATCATGGATTGGATCTTCAAAAAACATCATTTTTCTGGATGTAAATAATTACACTTGTCTGTTCGATAATGGAACTATGCAGTCATTTCATGACGTAATAAAATTGTTAAAGGACTTGGAAAAAGACTGTGCTTCCTACACTTTGCTAATGATAGTTACTACTTCATTGATTTTAGTGATTCTTACAATCATTTTAAGTCGTATCGTATATCGATATCGATGGAGGTTACGCTTTATGTTTTATATTGCCAGGGCCTACAGGAGAAGCCACCAGAGACAACAAGTTACACATTCCCATAAATACTACTTTGATGCCTTTATATCATACGCGGAGGAAAATGGCAAATTCGTCAGGGACATTGTCGAATATCTTGAAAAGGAACACAAACTCCGACTTTGTATTCATCAAAGAGATTTCATCCCGGGAACTGATATAGCAGACAACATAACGAACGCCATTCATAACAGTCAGAGAACTGTTTGCATGCTGACGTCAGATTACTTGGGATCATACTGGTGTAATTACGAAATGAACATGGCCAGAATGGAAGCCATTTGCGCTAGAAATCGTTCGAATGTCCTTTTCTTTATTATATGTCAGAAAGGTATTACCAAAAAAATACCTCTGAAGTGGATGGACTTGATTCATGGTAAATCATATCTAGAGTTTTTTGGGGAAAATGAAAACGAAGTTCTAGCGTTTCGAACAAAATTAGCAGAAACATTACAAAAACCATTATGTGATGAACAATTTTAGACTGTGATATTTGGGACTCTTTACCCTGAAAATCAGAGTGAATACATGTAACTGCATATGAGCACGTAAGTGGTGCATTAAAAAGATCTTAATAAACAAAAAATATATATTTTCAAATATTGACTTGAAACAATGGACTTAAAAGAAACATTCTAATCGGTGTTAAGATAAAAACATGTGCAACCTCCCCAGGAGAAGGAAATTATAATACATGTACTACAGAAATTACTTCCATTTCGAGACTAATGAATAGAACTTTCAGCTAATGAGAAGTTAAATGTATGATAGATTGAAAGGGATCTAATGGACATTGAAATCTACGAAAGCCCATTGCTTCCATTTTTTACGTTACAAAACGCCTAATAGCGCAAAAGAGTCGAAAATAAACGCGTTTGTTTCGCGTTATAACGATTAACATTTGCCAAAAAAAATGTTCGTTTTTTTACGCGTTACTTTTTAGTTACTTATCGCGTTATGACGCGTAACAATTATAAATGTAAATGCATGACTTAATTTTCACACTGTAACGCGTCACAAACGGGTAAAAGGCTTTGCTTTTGCGGAAAAATCCCACAAATCTTTTGCATTGTGACTCGTTTCTTTCGCGAATAAACACAATCATTCGCAGGCGTTATTACGCGAAACTTTGCTGCTAATCCGAAACATTTCACATGTAAGTCATTTGTTTTTATAATCTTGTTCATAAATTACAATGAAAAAGGAAAAGCTGCTTTGAACTTGGATTATAACAACCTTTAGATTGTAATTCTCGCCGTTGAATGTGTCTTTCCTCTCTCTTAATCTTTATTTTACACATCTGTCTTTCTCAATGCTGTTTAAATAATTAATGAACTATTCGAGTTTTCCAAAGGCAAAGCTTATTATGAATTTTTTGAAAACGATGACACCTTTCTGGCGTCAACTTTTAACACTTTCTATCAAATTTAAAACAAAATTATAATATATCTCAGAAAATAAAAAAATAAAATAAAATCTGTTAATTTTACTCCATCTTATGGGTGATCGTACGTAAAATCTGGATGAGGAATATTAAATTGTCACGATCCGTTATACTCACAATTATTTAGAATTCTACAGTAGTATCGCATTAGGGTTGTGTCACGTTGTCTCACGTGGTCATACCATTACAATTGCTTAATTTACTAGTAATGTAGTTAAAGTAATTTGGATGATGATGTAAAAACAGCCTGTAAAAAGTAACAAGTAGAAATATTCCTGAAAAAATAACAGTTTGAATTATTTTTGAATTCAACTAGTGAACAAGAGGCCCATGGGCCACATCGCTCACCCGAGAAACTTTGATGCTGCAGTTCTTTACCAGATTTCCTCTCTTCTTATATCTATTGTGTCCTCCTATCCCCCCACCCACCAACCCCGTCTTGATTTTAATAATTTAGAATCTATTCTACCCCAGGATGCTTCCACCTAATTTCAGCTTTCCTTTGCTCACTCGTTCTTGAGAATAATTTTTCCTATATATTTCTATATAAAACTTGAATCCCCTTTTGTGGCCCGCCCTACCCCCGAGGGTCATGATGTTTACAGTTTAATCTACATTACCCCAGGATGCTTCCACATACGTTTCAGCATTTATGGCCCACTGGTTCTTGAGAACAAGATTTTTAAAGAGTTTGTTTTCCTGTACAGTATATTTCTATGTAAAACTTTGAATCCGTATTGTGGCCCCGCCCTACCCCCGCGGGTCAGGAAGTTTACAAATTAGAACTACATTTTTCAAGGTTGCTTCCACATGATTTTCACTATACTGGCCCAATGGTTCTTGAGAAGAAGTTTTTAAAATTTTTCCTATATATTTCTATGTAAAACTTGGATTCCCTATTGTGGCCCCGCCCTACCCCCGAGGGTCATGATTTCTACAATTTAGAATCTACACTACCCAGGATGCTTTCACATAAGTTTCAGCTTTTCTGATCCACTGGTTCTTGAGAAGAAGATTTTTTAATTAATCAACCCTATTTTGTCTTTTCTTGATTATCTTCGCTTTGAAAGGGACTTGGACCTTTGTTTTAACAATTCAAATTCCCCATCATCCAATGATGCTTTGTACCAAGTTTGGTAAAAAAAAAAAATGGCACAGTGGTTTTTGAGAAGAAATTGAAAATGTGTAAAGTTTACAGACGGACGGACAAACGGACTACGGACAAAATGTGATCAGAAAAGCTCACTTGAGCCTTTGGCTCAGGTGGGTTAAAACAGGAACACCAAAGGAATATTTATATTACTTATAAGTTTATTGATAAGTAGGGTTTTGAAATACTATTCTTAAATCTGAAAAATAATATATCCTACTCTTGCAACATTTCTAATAAAATTATCTGAGAAAATTTCATTTATGAGTAGTAAGTTGCAATTTGTAAAGGTCAAATGGTCAAAAATATCATTTATATAATTTCTCAAATTATATTGATCCAAAATTTCCATTCATTTAATGATAAGAAGTATAACACACAAAAATTGGAGAGATCAAATACAAATAACAACAAGGTCAAAAAAATTATCATTTATATATATATCCTAGTGTTCATGTACATTGCTTGGCTATGTTGTAGTTGAAACATTTGAAAAAAGACAAATTGAATGTATATTGAGCCAAAATTTCCATTCATTTAATGATAAGAAGTATAACACACAGAAAATGTGTTATTTCTCTGCAAGAGAGATTGGATGAAACATTTAACCATTATTCATAAAATTTTAATTTTATGATTATTATGCGTTTTTATTTTACATTTAGACACTCTTTCTTAATATTCCTTAGTAAAACTTTCAAATAACAATAAAATTGGCAATGGTATCTCCCTGTTGCTAACAATCATCAATTCAACAAAAATATTTTGCTAAATTGATGATGAAATGGACACAAAAAATGAACCACAAAAATATCAAAACAAAAAAAAAAAACTGCCACAAAAAAGCAAACTTTAACTGCTCTATAATTATCACAAATAGCATAGAGGCAATAATTTACAATTATGCTTTAGAAATTTATACTCATAATTTCGCGTTATATCGCAAAAGTGAAGCGTTAAAACGTAAAAGTTTTTTTTTTTTAGTTATGCCTTTCTTTGCGAAAGGTTTGCGTTATAATGTGAAATTTATTATAAAAGTATCGAATTTAATGTCGAACATTTAGTGTTTTAACGCGAAAGTTTCGTGTCAAAACGCAAAAAAATCACCACAAAGTGAGCTCAAATGTCTTTTGTAGAGTTTCACTGTATTAAGTTCAATTAAAAGTTATCGCGCATGTACTGTTCTGTTATGTTATTCAGATTTTCTTTGTAAATAACGAAATATGACGACACTGGAATTAAAAAACAAACAAACACATAAACATTGTGTAACCTCGATCCAACCACCCGATCTCCTTAAAAAGAAAAAAAAAATAATGAGAGATGCAAAACGACATATTAAACGTATGCTATTGGTGACCCGCATTGAGAAATCATTTTTTTTTAGGTCTATGTTTTTTTTTTTTAAGTAACAATATTTAAAAAAAATCTGTTTTGCAATTAGTAATAAGCAAGGAGGCCTATTCAAAACTTCATTTGAAATTTTCGGCAACTAGCTATAGTCGAAAATTTTGATGTTAAGGAGAAACAATTCAATATAATGTAAGTGCATCATTTCTTTGAAATATGCTTAATATTCTTGCCGTTTTAGGTATTAAACCTGGTCTTAAGGGATGACGTCACTGTAGGAACCGAGACGTTGATGTTCTTGAGATTGTTAGAGGCTCTCTTGTTTCTAAATATTCTTGCAAATTGTATCAAAGGATGATTGTCTTTTAGAAATAATGGAGTAATTATTGTTTAATATCTTCTTTTTTTTAGTTTTTTTTTATACATTTTGTAATAAATTCGCTGGATGTTATAAAATATATTATTATTAATATATTATTATTTCTCTTTTACGTTAATACGTATCAAGCACGAAAATTTTATTACTTTAAATTTATTACGGTCACCTGTGCAATGTTTTCATGCTTTTTTTTTTACACGTCATACCTCTAGACGGTCAATATCTCCATAATATATATCTGTGTATTGATAGACAATAAAAAAGGAATTAATTCATTTCCAACATCTTCACATTTTTTTTTCACAACCTTCACTACACGGAGCCAGCGATCTACTGATTGAACTACCGTGACAGTTTCTCGAAAACCTACTTGAAAGTAAATTTTATTATCCGTAGATATTCAATTTATCTTTATGTATTTCTTAAATGATACAAATAAAAAATATATATATTTTTGAAAATTTCACTACCCTGAACATACACAAACCTTAACCGCTCGCGTAGTTTAGATTTTGTAACATTTTATTAAATTTTCGAACAGTCTATAGTAGTAGATCGGTAATGAAGAAAACAAATATCTCCACGCCGTAAGAATTTTCTCTGACTGTCTTATATTTTCCTTAATGCATTGACTACAGTTGTCTCGTTTATACGATCATGACAAAGAGCACAAGGTGGTTATGGCCAGTTAGCAGGGGATACTTACTTTTCCATGTCTCTTGATCTCAGGGGTTCATGTTTGCTCAGCTAAAAATTCATATTCTTTTAGTGGCTTTTTAGCTTAGTTACTGTTCCTTATTATCATATTCCATTGAAAATACTTGTTCAAAATTTTGAATTAAAATGTTCTGTGTCCTTTTGCAGTGGTTTCATTTATTGTTGCGGATAAAAATGTAATTATTGTACAGATTTAATGCAGGTGTCATAACAGTATTACACTTTGGTTCACGTCAAATCATGGCTGACGCAAAATAATCCCGGAATCTTCCCTTCCGATTCGGGCATTTTGATACCTGGAGCTGAATTTTTTTATGAGATGAAAAACAACATGTAAACTTTCTGTATTGACCAGATTTATTAAAATTCAGGGCGTGCTGATTTTTCTGTATACTGTCAAGAGTGGGGAGTGATTAGGCCCTGGACTAGATTTTCAAGCACCTGCTCGACTTCGACCGAAACAAACTTGCGTGCCTTGCTGGATGGCTATGTATTTTTTGGTACTAAAATCTTTATAAAGAATGGTTTTACAAGATCTGAAAAGGAAACTAAGAAGTTTGTTTTGAATTAGTTACATTATCAAACTTGCGCATTTTTGGTAAGAATATATAGCAGAAATTAATACTGTTGTGACA